CGTTTTGATACTTCTCTTTTAATTTCGTTGAATGAGCAATAGGCACAGCTGCATGATTATTACCAATATATAGTAAAACACATTTTAAACTACGCTTACAGCTGTCCATGAACAATCTCCATTCTTTAGCTTTGTACCTTGTGAGCCCCAATTTCATTAGAAGGCCACCAATGTTATTACAATAAACTATATCACCTTCTGAGCTAAAAAATAGAAGAAATTCTTTTTCGCGATCACGATAAAATGTTATTTTTGTACCTTGAGATAACAAATTTCTTTCTTTGAGTCTAGATGCTAGTAGCTCAGATCGCTCTTTCGAAAGGTCAAAGTCTCTAATCAAATCACTTAAATCATCTTGAGAAAAAAGTGAAGGCACTGTTGACATTTTAAAATCACTGTCACGTTCATCAGAAAAAACTTTACCATCTCTGTGTCCGACAAATCTGATAGATCTGAAACATCTTGACTCATCGGAGATAGTACGTCATCTGAACACAGTCGAGGTCTTTTAGCAGACGGTATATCAGGATATGTCATTTTCCTTTTGTTTATGCTATTGTCACACGAATTTTATTCCTGTGTGCGTCCCTCCCTGCGCCTAGTGTTGGCAACAGATCCACACTCAGTGTCCCATAATTTCAATATTTTTATGTGAATTTATATACTGCATATTCTTTATTATTATTATATTTGAAAGGTTGTATATTATGATTATTAGTAATTTAAGAATTAATTCTACATTTGTTTCAGATATTTACAATGAATTATTTGTAATTCATTATTATCATTATTATTATTGTATGTATCGCCGTAAATCATAGTTATAGTACCTGGTTATTATCGTGGCCTTTACTCGCACGGGTGAAATCCTATAATATCGATCGCGAGCAAAGGGTCTATTAAATTTGGGAAAATGGCTAAAGAGGCCCTCGTGGTCGAACACGAGGCCTCGTACGATTTACGGTGACAAAAATTAACCAGACACGCGGGAGCCCGCTTAGTGTGTGGAAGACACGCGGTAGCCTGCAGAGTGTAAGAGTGTGGATCTGGCACCTTTGTTCGAGTTTCCTTTTTCTGGTGAGTACTCACAAGTTGAGCCATTTCGTTAACCGTACACCGCTGTCTCCTGGCTAAAATATTTTGTTCTTTTTGTTTAATCGAATTTACTATCGATTTATCGGGTTGATTTCGTAGCGAGTAAGGGGTATCACGATAGAATATATACCTGTCCCGAAAGCCGCGTGTGGGTCCCTGAATTGGCCAGTAATCGCTTAATTAAAATATTACGTCATCATTAATTATTTTTGCAAGTATTATTTTTGAACGCAAAGTATATTCTGATTATTGTTAAGATTATTGTTTTTCATTGCGGCTATTGTTATTCTCGAACGCAATATTGTAAATAAGTTGAAGAAAAAGTTATATATATATATATATATTAATCAAAAATTCCATAAAGGATTTAATTTATTATTTATAAAATAGATTTAGTTTTAAGCAACTTCGTTTTGAATAAATTGTTTGTTTATTTTTTTTTTATTTGCTGATTCATTAATGAATTATTTTATGTAAATTAATTCCTAAATTCTTCTCCTGCAACTCATCTTCCTAATTCAACTAATTAATATAAAGTACTATTTTATGATTAATTACTCATGATTTCTGAATGTAAATTCTGTCTTAATCTCAACTTCAATTATTTTGTGGCTTACTTTTTCATTCACATTAATTTAAATCGTTGATTGATTGTCCGGGGCAGCCCCTGGAATTTTGAATTATTTTGGTAATTTTTAGATAAAATTACCTGGCGTCCTATCGTGCACTAACCCAGCCTGAGGAGTTTCCGGGCTACTCTTATTATTTTTATGACATATTTAAAAAGGGCGAGCGTAAATACTCTACCCAGCCGGTATCTCCGCCTCCGGTAAAATTTTGTTTAAATTATGGGGAAAAGTATTGTTACACTATGTAATTCTAAAACACAAAAATAACAGTCATCAATGTGATTTTTCGGTTCTGTCCAAATCATGGGCACATTGAACTTTAAATGATTACGTTTACTGTTTGCCCACTGTCTTAGATGTTCACTACACAACTTTCACACAATGTTTTGAACCCACGACTTGTTCAGAACTTTCATCTCTATTTTACAGATATCAATGTATGTCTTCTTCACTGAATCTGTTATAGGTTTTCTAAACTTTTTCACTACATATTCACCACAAATGTAGCAAAATGTATTTGGATTATTTACAAAACACCTTCTCGACGACGGCATGTCAGTATTATTGATTAAAAAAAGATTTCTCGATTATAATACATTAATTATGATAAAATAGGTTTTTTAGGATTGTAACGGGGTAAAATTACCTTAAATCGATAAGTCGCCGGATATCGATAACTATTCGACGCAGCACTGATGCGTCTCGGTCTTCGGGACCTATGTAGCGAGTAAGAGGGGATAGTTTTGGGTTATCATAGTTAATCCGTGCATTGCAAAGGACAAAAGTAGTTTAGCCACCGGAACAGTGGCACGGAGAAGAAGAATCCAGTCCAATCCCTGGAGGAAGTCGACAACCACTATGGTTTCAACAGGGAGTTCGATCGTTCATCTATTTACTCAGGTATCTAAAAAGTACTCCGTGGGCGGGAAGTAGACCGTGGGTTTTATACTCGGTTCATTTTACCTCTTCTCTTTTTATATTATTCATTATTTATTTAATTGGTAATAATTCAACAATTATTAAATTTGAATTGGTTAATATTCGTTAGGCGGTGCTGAGTGGCCCTCAAGGGGATTTTCACCCGAGCGTCACTCAAAGACCTTGTGGTGTAAAGTTCGTGAGAATTTATTTGTTTAAAATTTAATTTACTCGGTTATTTGTTAAATTATTGAACATCTGGAAATGGTTTTGAATTGTACACTTGATACTGCACAATTTAGTCAAATAAAAACCAATGGTAAATTTTTCAAAATTGGTCAAAACGTTTAAGTACTAACGAATATTTGGCGTCCATTTTAAATCCGCAAATTCTTGTTAATTATTTTTTGCTGAATATTTTACTAAGAATTATTGAATTATTAGTTATTAATATTATTTATTGCGAATTTATTTACTCCTATTTCGGCGCATTTAAGACTGATTAAATCAAAAGAATTTTATGATAATTAATTTTGATATTGAGATAATTTAATATATAATTATTTATTTGAACTGAATTAGTTTTACTAAGTTAATTTATTGTAATTGAACTTAAGATCTAAATGTTATTTAGATAATTAAATTATCAATTTGTAGAAAATTATTTATAAATTATTCATCGGCGTGGATATTAAGTCCAGGAATATTTAGTTAGAATTATATGATGAATATTATTAAGAGTTTCTTTTAACGTTGAATATTAAATTCAGGTTTAGAACAATTTCGTACGTCGAATTGAGTTCGGATTTTTGGTGAAATTAAATTTATTAGTTTTGAAAGTATTGCATAATTTATTCGCTAGCTGATGACTGAAGATTTTAAGTTGAGATTTAACATTGATATTATTCTTTAAAATATTTAAATAATTTCTTATAAATTTATTGAAATATATATAGTCAATTAGTAGTGTCTGTGTGTAAGTGTGTACGAGTTACGTGTGTTATCTACAGGATATCTAGGTCTACGTTTAGTCACTGGGTTGTCCTGTACCAGAGTATGTTAAGCTGCAGGAGTATCTAGGTCTACGTTTAGTCACTGGGTCATTACTCCTGTGAGCCGAGTTAACGATCTCTTGCATATAATTAGTCTCTGTGCAAGGTAATTAGTCTGTCATAAGTCGTGGAGTAAGTTTCGTTAGTATAGTTAGCCAGCCCTGTTAATACAGTAATGATAAGCTATTGTTAAGTGATTATAGTGTGAGTGTGTTCCGTGAACAAGGCCCAGTAGCGATTAATTCGCTCCTGGGGGACTCCCAATTTCAAGAGACGCACCTGTCCACGGTGTGTTCCCTCAAAATCGAACCGCCAATGGAAAATTAGGTTATCGATCACGCCATGCATCGACCGCTTTATTGGCTGATCGCTCTCGCTGGACATGCGCAATAGCTTTCTTTCCCAAGTCAACGAGGAAGAAGACGAACTATTATTACTATCTTTCGCATCCACGTTTCGTTACAAATAGTCGCCATTAATTTGGCTTTACTTTCGCTTTTTGCTTATTAACCGCAGTTCGCTATTTCTTATAATTTAATTTGCTTAAATTTACCGCTAATAATTTGCTTTAGTTTGTTTCAGATAAATTGTTTATTTGCTTTTATTTTCACCGCTTTTACAGTGTTGGCTGAGTGTTCAACCACGTGTCTACCGGCATCGCTTTTGCTAAACACGCTGTGTATTATAAATCCGCTTTTTTATAACCAATCCGCCATTGAATATATTAAATACAAAGTGTATTTATTGTTAATAAATTCCTAGTGTTAATTTTGATAATAATTTACGCGTTTTAATTGAGATATCCAGATCTAAACCTGATCCCCGCTTTTCCGCTCTTATAGCATTTTACAGTGTGTGGGCGCAAACTTGTTAAATTTGTTGTTATTAATAAATTTTGGATCCGCTGTTAATTAACTATTTATTTATTTATTTCACAGCACCTTCCTCTACTTTCTCTAACCCTAAACGATAAGCTCTCTGTTCTGGACCGGTTTCAGGAACCGTGATAATAACTCTGGAGGCGTCTTTTCAATTTAATTGGTTTTGATTTCATTTTGTTCATTTTTATTGTTTTACTTTAATTTAATTAAAGGGTTAATTAGAGAGTATTAAAAACTATTACAGGATATTATATCGATCGATATAAGCCTGAACGTAGCTTCACGATTTTGACAGCCTCGCACGACATCTTGCGGGCTAATTAACCAAAATATAACCTAAAATTAGTGGCACCAAACAAAAAAAATTTTTTTGTAGACCTGTGTAATTCTTAATTCTTCAATTTTAATTTTTTTGATAACTATCCATGTTTTCAATGCTCAGGAACGTTAATCAGTGTATTCATCAATCTGCTTGTATTGCTTGCAGATATCAGAAGCTTCCAAATTTGATTTATGAAGGTAATTTGAGCTTAAGTATGAAGAGACCATCTCACATTATACAACAGCGCCATGCAGCAAATTTGAGGGAACGAAAACGTATGCAGAGTATTAATGATGCGTTTGAAGGACTTAGAGCTCATTTACCGACTTTACCCTATGAGAAAAGACTCTCGAAAGTTGATACATTAAAACTTGCAATTGGCTATATAAGTTTTTTGACTGAACTGGTTAATGGAAATCAGAATTCTGCGTCTTACAAGCATGGAACTATTATAAAATCCAGGAACCAAGATTGTTATCATAAAATTATAGTGACTAGTAAGTATGCGTCTCTTCCGTATTATTTTATGTTCATATATGGGCAGATCCGATAATTCACGACAAAAGTGTGCGCACTTAGGTCAGCGATTTTGATACCGATTTTATCATTAAAAGTACACCTTAAAAGAAGACGATCCTGAAAATTTGGGCCCGATATGATCAAATCCAGCCGCTGGAGAATTTTTTGAATTTTTTAAAAAGTCGATTTTTCACTGATTTTTGATAATTTATGTCTCAGCTTCTATATAACTTAAAGACTCCTACCAAACAAAATTCTTCTCAGTGGACTCTCTACTTTTAAAAAAAAATTAGAAAAACGGTTCACCCTAAAGGCCACCCGTGCAACTTCCCGCTAATTCGATTCCTGGGCACTTAAAATTGTACTTATGACATTTTTGAGTTTTTTGAGCTCAAAATATAATTTATGTGATATTTTGAGCTCGCTGAGTTCAAAGAAATAATATTTCTATGTATTTGAACTCTCCCAGCTCAATAGTCTGATAGAAGTTTCATAGAACACTATTTTTGAAATTTTCAAACCGCAATAACTTTTGAATGGATCAACCAATTTTCACGCGGTTGGCAGGATTCGACGCAGTTTTATTATCCTCATAAGTGATTTTCAGATTTTTATTGATATAACCAAAAATTTCGGAGTAATCCTGAAAAAACACTTTTTTCGGTTTTCTTTCGTTCACGATATCTCTCGAACGAATAAACCGATTTTGACCGGATTAGCGACGATCGGCGTGGTTTTTCAAGCTTAAGAGCGGATTAGTTTTTGAAGTTGATCAATAGAGCCGTTTGAAAGATATTCCAAAAAAAAACACTTTCAAAAATGATTTTTTTCTCATTTTTTTTGAGATTTTTTTAAATTTCTCAAAATCTATCGGTCCGAATCGTTTCAAATTCTCAGGAAATCTAAGTTTGAGGGAACTCCTTAGAACGCCGTTTAGTTCGTTCCGATCAGTTCAGTCGTTCAAAAGTTATAAGCGAGTCACATACTCACTCACACACAGACACAGACACAGACACACACACACACACACACACACACACACACACACACACACACACACACACACATACGTACAGAAATAGTGACAACCTCGCGGGGATAGTCAGGGAAGCTTCCTGTGACCTTCAAACGTCCAGATCTGATGAAAACTAGATTTTTGCAAAACGGGGGAA